ATATAGGTACTTTTCCATTATACCCCTGCAAATGACAAGTTATTACTACATAAATATAATACTTATTAATATATTTTTAGAAACTTATAATGGACATTTACTATATGAATAAAATGCATATTTATATGTTTATAAAAGTTATGGAAAATGCGGGGGTTTAACGGAAATATTGAAATTGGGGGAGGGGGGTATAACAGAAAATATTGTGCATAGATTACACTAAGTTTGTCATTTTATAAAAAGTTTTATTAACTCATCATATATGAAATCGATCATGTTGACCATCCTATTAACCTCCATGTAACCATGAAAATATACATACTATAACTTTTAATGTAGCAAGTGTATCTTCTCAAAATGTGACAAGATTTTAGTAAACATTACAAGTCTTTTGTGCCAAAAAAAAATACAGATTTTTTAATTTAGTAGTTTTACTAAAGTTTTGTCTGTGAATTAACTCAAACTCTGACTATTCTGAGTGTAAGGTTGATTTTCATGCTAAGACTAAAAATAATTTTTTCACTTTACAATTTCCAAATTTCATTTGCATAACCTCTAGAACCTCCTAAATGAACATAAATTTTTTTTCCTATTTTCTCTATCCTAACACTGTATTTGCTGAAATACATTTAACCGACCTTGTAACCACCACCACTAAAAGTACGAAATAAATTTAAATTACCCTTTTTTCTTTGTAAAATGATTGCAGATTAGGACAGAAAATTAGTTATTTATCCTAAACAGCCTCAGGCCTAAAACAGTTTACATCTGTTTTATTTGATTTTACTGTTTTATTGCTTTTTGAATTGTCTAACTGCTAAACATGCATAACAAAGCTATATAAACCTGATGAGCAAATAACTCAAGTTACAGTAAAACAAAGTATTGACTTGTGTAATACGTGTGCAGCTCACATTCACACCTTGTTGAGAAATTTTATTTTATTTTCATTACCTAACTTGAGTTTCTAATTTTCTAGATTTTCAATTACTTTTATAACAGTAAAAAAATATACATAAATAAACAAAAAATTTGGTACTTGTTGGTCGTGTATTTTTTTGCAATCAAAACCGTGAATCCTCAATAAAAGTTAACCCTACTGTTTGGTGTGGTTATTGTTAGTAGTTATTTTTTTCAAAGATTCAGTTAAGAATACAATGCCCCATAATTGTTATAATTTACTGGCTTTCTAACTAAGCTATAAGTGCATTAAAATGTTTCTTTTACTTTTTCAAGGTGAACTTGGCAATGGCAAATTTGAATCATAGACCAAATAATTCAAAAGCTGTCATAAGAATAAGCCTGTCTATGATGTAATTCTTTAAATTAAAACCATCTCTTTTTGCTAGTTATAAATAATGTGTTAGCAAATGTTGCAGAGAATTGTTGACAATTTTGTAATTCAGTATTTGGTAGAAAATCATGGCATGTGGGTTTGACTTTCTGGTTTATATCTCTAAGTCAAGGTTATTGGAGATTGTAAGATTAGATTGTCTTAACAATATCTACTATAAGTTTATAATTGGAATTAAAACTCTGAAGTTTCAGTAGAGGCGGAAATAATACCTAAATTAGGCAATTTGGAGCCTACATGTGTCACATAATATAAAGAGGTGAAGATTAAGAATTTATTTAAATATATTCTTTTGAAATTAAGATATTAAAACGTGTATTAAAATTTGATTTATTATCTACATTTTGATGCCAAGTTTACTGACATATATTGATAATAAAGTAGTTTAGTTATATTTTGAATGTAACAGTGTAAAAAGGTTATGGTGTGCAGTTTTACTTTCATGTAGCCAGTGTTAAATCACAATTTACATATGCTTGAATAAAACTTGGAAGTTTTAAGTAGTTTTAGACAACTACACACACACACACACACACACACACACACAC